TTGGTAGTGATTAAAAAATGCTAGTGGAAGATTTCGCCTTGTTAATGATGGTGCACTAAAGATGCCTGCAGAGAATGAACATAGTGATGCTAATGGGACAGAATTACTGAATGTAGCTCGTCAAAGTATCAAGAAGTTAGTTAAGCTAAATTTGAAAAAACTGCTATTTTGAACTGGTCACTGAGTCAGAAGACAAATTCATTCATTCAATGGGAGATTGATGGTTTTAAACCGACGTGAACTCCAAAAATCCATTTTCAAAAGCAGAGGTATCACATTATCTCCACAAAGACCAAAATTGAAGCAAAAGATGTTTCGAATACAGAAATGGTCATTGGCTTGGAGTCTATCGATGAATATGTAGCTCACGTTTCAGAGACTTGAATGTTTAAGGCCAAATACCTTAGACACAACTCTACCCAGAACTATACTAGGATCTGCATCAAATTCAGCTATTGAGTTCTTGGACACACCATGGATATATGATGCTTGCACTCTCCAAAAATGGAAAGCATCCATGTCGACACGACATGACATGAGATATGGATCATATCATTGGTTTTGCAATTGGACACTGGAGCAAAAGGGATAAGATTGCGGAAGGTGGAGTCATGCTTCTAAGTTTCAGAAGGAGATGTTGACAAAGAAGAGAGAGCTGTCCGAACATGAAATAATTGCCTTATCTAAAGAGTGCAGTGCAATCACACAGCACAGGCTTCCGCCCAAACTGAAGAATCCAGGGAGTTTCAATTTGCCTTACTCTATAAAAAATTTAAATAACATTAATGCTTTATTGATTTTGAAGCAAGTATTAATTTGATCCCTCTGTCTATTTACAGGAAATTAGGATTGGGAGATCTAAAAGGCAACCTCAATAATCCTATAGTCGGCGGATGGAACATTGAAGCACCCTTATGGAATAGTTGAATATATGCTCACTAAGACTGGAGACTTTATCTTTCCACCTGACTTCATTATCCTTGACATAGAAGAAGCACAACAGCTGCTAGCTATTTGGGGAAGAGCGTTCCTATCGACTGGTCCTGCTTTGTTGGATTTTGAAACAAATGAGCTCATCTTGAGAGTGTAAGACAAGCAGCAAAATTTCCAATGAACACTCCACTCAGGCGACCATCCTATTTTGAGAACTTGAAGAAAGTAGAAATAGAAGAAAATGATGACTATGCATGTCATCACTGCAAAAAGGGAGTTAGTGGAGTAGTTAATACAAGAGGGGATACATCTGGGCACTATCAACTGTGGAGTGTAAAGGATGGTGCTGCAAATTCCCTTTTTAAGACACCATGAATAGTTCAAGCAACAAAGTTAAGCTAAAGACTATAAATAAGCGTTTATTAGGAGGCAATCCAATTTTCTTTCCCTTTCGTTTATTTTGCTTTTTAGATTTAGGATAGGAGTTTAATTCTTTTTTATTTTTTATATGTAACTCATTGATTTTTTGTTTTCCCTAGGTCCTTGAAATTTAGTTGACCTATTAGATGTTTGAGCTAAGTAACACTTATTCCAAGTATTTGATCTTTAATGTTTTATTTTACCGCATTGTACATGAACATGACGTCGTGGAACACTTAAACCAACATTAACCAAGGAGATGACGAGAGCAATAAGACAAGCTAGCCATTGATTTTACGCCATATTAGAAGAATATTTTCTTCATTTTCTCTCCCATCCCTTTAGATGCGGACTTAAAATTTAAGACATTGAGGGCAATGTCTAGTTTAAGCTTCTATGTGGACAACTTTTCTTTTGTTTTGTGTGTATTTTATTACTTTAAATATTAAAAAAATAAAAAAAATGAAAATTTTGAAAAATTCAAAAATTATTCTTTGCATGCACTTGTGTGAGTTAGTTGGCCTGGCTGACAAGTTGATCTAATGTGGATAACCTAACATTTATTATATAACATTTAATTACTAATCAAGCATTAACAATTGGAACTGGGAAGCAAAGCATTCTGGTGAATATCAAAGTATAAGTAAAGATGGTCCAGGTATCAAGCTGCCAATTTAGTCTTGAAATAAGGATTTGACGTTTTTTGTTTCTTCACTAGAATTTGCACTGGATTTTTCTTCTCTACATAAATGAGAAGCTTCGTCTTCCCATAAAAAATAAACATTTTTTTCCATCAAACCTTCGGTTAAAATTTTCCAAATTCTTGCTTACTCCCAATTTTCATACATGAATCCATCTAACTCTACATTAGATATTTGTTCATTGCAATCTTCAGATCCTGTCAAGGAAGGAAAAGTACAAAGATAGGCTAACAAAATATTGGGATTTGTGTATGTATGCCATATTCTTATATTCTTTATTTCTTTTTAGATATCTAATTTTATTAAATTAATATTCATATATCTATATATTTTTGTAGGCAGGAATCAAATTGAATTGGATAGACAAGGTGGCATTGAGATAGCGAAACTATCCCTTGATGAGAGGAAGATGAGTAAAGCTTGATTGGGAATGCTTGTTTAGTTTGATTTCAAGTGGGGAACTTTAGGCATTGTTTGATTCCTTTTTTTTTTTTTTTTTAAATAATTTTTTTTTTTTTTTTTTTTTTTTTTTTTTTTTTTTTTTTTTTTTGGATTTTATCATTTTAAGAAGCATTTGTATTGAGGAAATTTCTATTTTCTTTAATTGAACCATTATTCTCTTTTTATTCTCTTTGCTACTTTGGCATTGTTCTATCATATTTTTTCTTTTTAAAAAAAAAAAAAAAAAAAAAATTTGTAGGACATATCTCTGTACCCGTATCCAAAATTCAGATAATTTTTAACCGTATCCCAATATCTTAACTTTTAAAATGAGAAGGATTCGACTACCCATATCTAAGACCCACTGGAGTCTAAGAAACATAGCCATGCGTCATCAGCCAAAGTTGGATAAGAAGTTACAAAATCAATTAAGGAAGCTGAATGGAGTATGAAGAAAAAGTGAGAGTCAAAGGACACATGATTGTCACATAGTATGTTCTTTACCACTGCCATATACCACAAGGGCACAAAGAAATGTAATAACATCGAGAAGTTCTCCAAGATATTTGCATGTTTACCAAATGACAGAAACTAAGTGCACAACTCCTAGCGAAATCAGTTATCTATACAATAACCAACCCAACTTTATCTTAAAACAGTCCATGTATCCAAGCATGTCAAAGATAATAATTTTGGTATGGGTGATAAAGCTTAGTTTGTTGTTGCATTTACAATTGGAATTAGTCTTAGTTGTGGTTATTTCTTTAGTAATTCTAGAATATCTAAAATTAGTTAAGAGTTGATATGTTAGAGTTTCCTATAAGGAATAAGGAATAATAGGAGTACGTTGCATAGTTCTTTAATTAAAAGAAAATTTGGTACAAAAATTCAGTTTTGAATTGATGCCCTGTTCTTCTTCTTGAGAGCCTAGCCTTGCTCCTCTTCCACTAATAGTTTTTCCACGTTGCTGACTGGCACGCAAAACAGCCATTAATTTTTTTTTCTCTTGGTATCTATAGGATCTTCAACCTTTACCCATTCAATACACAATATAAATCCCTACAAATCCAGAAAACCTCAAGGTTGGCCAACATCACTCCCATTTATGTATACATAAATACCCCATACAAATCCTATATCTCTGCCTTTACTGGCAGCATGTGACAAAAATAACCATTAAATCTTATTTGTGAGGTGGTTAGGGGTCACAATCTTACTCTAACCCTAATATTTCAATCCCCTCCAGTATGGGAGGTGGTGCGAGCCTTAGTTCAGTGATATGTCATGAAATACCACTTGTCTCTCGCCCATATGCGAGGACAATCACATGGCGGTTACCTACATCCTCCATCGTTTCAATATGATCCGAAAGTTTCACTTAACAAAAGTAGCAGATATTTATTCTAAAAGTATGTATGAAATAACTTACTGTGGTAAGTCATAAGCATCTTCCAGGACAATTTGACCTGGGATATCATACCAATAAAACAGAAAGTGTCCAAAAATGTCATTATCCAATTCATAATTTGAAACTTTCAATGTTATGGAAAGATATATAACCTTAGTGATGCAAATTGGAAATTCTAGGCGTAATTGTAATCAAATCAATTAAAGATTGAATTTTCATTATTGCTTTTCTTGTTTTGGTAGAGTAATAAATTTGTTTCCTTTTAAACAAAAGGAAATTCTAGTTTTTCCTTGCAACTCTCCTTTTTTCTTGTTATTTGGAACCTATGAATTAAGGTTCTTGGATTGTAATAGACACTTGATTATTGAATAAATCTACTATCTTCCTTAATTCTTAGCTTCTTACTCTCTTCACTTTTTCTATTGTTCTTGTCTTCACAACTGGCATCACTTAGCCTAGTATATCTTATAAGAAACTGAAACAAAATGAGACAAACACACACGATTGAAAAGAATCTCATGTAAAACGCCTAATATGTTACTCTAATGAAACTATGAAAATACCTTGCCATATACCACTATCCACAAATTATAAGAAATTTACAGAAACCTAAAGCAAATAAAGTAAAAATTACCTCATTTCGTCTGCGGGCATCATTCAATCAATGTAAGGTAGTCCCGCAGCTCACAAATCAATCATCAATCCTTAAGATAGGCAACACAAGATAAACAGAAAAACTACATGAGCGTCATAATCGTAAAATCTCCACCATCATCAATTCGGAATGTACTGAGATGAAATACCACATAATCCGTAAGAATAATCATTATACTTGACTCGTTGAGATACCAGTTAACACAGCTAACGCAAATTCTATTATGACACGCCAAACTGTCCTAAGAAAAATCAAAATCACAATCAATGTAGTTAAATACCACATAATCCATGCGAATTGTTAAGTATTATGATAACTGACTAAACGAGTCCATACAGCGAAGATCAAATTATATTCACACACACCAAACTGACCCAAGGGAAATCACCACCAAAATCACGCACACGCACACGCACAAGCACACACATCTAGATCTTACTTCAATTAAAAGGTCGTCGAAAGTTACAGGAATATGGAATCAGTCATTTCAAGATTCAACGTCCTACAACGCTTTGTTGCTATCATTTTCTTCGCTGATATTCTTCTCAACAGCCGAGTTAATTTCCCGCCGCTGTCTGATGACGCTGGAGAAATTCGAAGACAGATTCGAGTAAAGAACGAGTACTTTGGATATATTTCCATTAATTTCCTTAATCAAATCAACATTTTTCGCCAAATTATCAGGAATCTTCGACTGGTGATTCTCGTTCGCCTTTTGAATCAAAACACGGTTGTGATTTAACACAGTTTGTACCTCCTTGAAGGCCTTGCTCAAAATCTCCCATGCTTCCACGTCGCAGCATGCTTCTTCTTCGACGTCCTCGTCATCACTTCCGCCGCCGTTGATACGGCGATTGGCGTTGGCATCGATTTGGAAACTGTTGTCCATGATCGAGGAAGGATCAGCTGTTTGTCATTTCATAGTGTATTTACCATTGTACGTGCGTGTATATATATTTTTCTTATTTTCTAATTAATTTATTGGGTGTTGGTGGAAAAAAGGCGGTCGCGTGAATAAAAGAACAACCGACTCCACAAAGACTGCGGCTTTTTCGAATAATTTTAGGGTGCGTTTGATTACAAGTAGGAAAATTACATGGAAAGAAAATGAATTCCAAGGAATTGAATTACCTAGAAATTGTTTTCATGAAAATTGTAAATTAATGTGTTTGATTGTATAAATTTTTCACGTGAAAAATGTTGAAGTAAAAGTATTTTTTGATGTTCGTTTGACTTTGTTTTATGTGGAAATTGTCAATTTCAGGGATATCCTCTTTTACAATTATTCCTAAAATTTGTTCCCATTGCCAACAATTAAAAATAAATAAAAAAGCAAAAAAAAAATAAAAAAAAAGGTGGAAAACCAAAAACCATCTATCCCCTAGGAAAAAAAAAGTGGAAAATCACGCTTTAAGGTGTTGTACCTAGAAATTCATGGAAAATCAATTCCCTGAAAAATTTTGTCAATCAAACAGGCCAAAAGTGGAAGTTGGAATTCGAATTCCAAGTTCCATGGAAAATTTCGTGCAATCAAACGGGGCCTTATAGAGTTTTTGGCTGTCATACTTCACCAATAAATAATTTGTAAAAATCTTTGACGTGATAAATAACTAAAAATTAAATCCTTGTTTGGGCTCTATTGAAAAATGTTTTGAATGAAAAATAGTAATTTTTGAAAAATGTGCGATTAGAAAGAAGAAAATGATTTGGGATCAATACATAATAGTTAGTTTTAAAGATTACATTTCACAAATAACAAATGCATTAAAATATTTCAAAAATCATGCCGTAAATAAATTTATTAAATATTAAATTATAATATAATATACATTAATTATTTCCAGCCCATGCCACCTCACCACAATACACCACCTTCCCTCTACCTCTCCACTAGAGATAGCCATAGGCTCCCACGGCATTTTTTTTCTTATCATTGACATGTGATTAATTCTATTGGATTTGTAACCCATACATATTGTGACATATGAAATATGACTTGTAAACCATGAATTGTTACTCGTGACTGTGATTGTATGCAACCAACATGTGTTATTTTTGATCAACTATGACCAAATTTGTCTTCAGTGTAATTAATTGTGACTAAATTTGTTTTAAATATAACTGTATGTGATCGGGTCAATTCGAATCAATACTGTATGTGATTAAGTCAAAATCGATCACAACTAACAAAAAATTGGTCACAACCAATTATAATAAACACATATTTGGTCACAAAGTGTCACTACAAACAAATATGCACACACCACAAACCAATACCATAATCTACCACCACTACCATAACCTCTAATGCATCACAACTACCACATTCAACTTAAATCCATGATCATAAATACTACTTTATTTTGTGACTGTCTGTAACCAAATTAATCTAATTTGTGATTGTATCTAATCAAGTCACATACAATCACAAATCTCGTCACGAAAAGTCACACTAAAAATAGAGTTGGTCGCACCCTATTGCCGTCGCCACCACCATTCCGAATACCATCAAAAATTAAACGCACACCACCTCACTAAGACAACATGCACCACCACATATTCAAACATAGGTTCCACAAACAGATCCACACACATCCAGCTACTTACCACCAATCATCACCACGAACCCACCCCAACCCCCAACCCCAACCCCAACCCAAACCCAACCCAAAATAGCGAGCTAAATAGGCACCCAAAAATATGACACAATATACAGGTTGGTAGATTGAACGAGGGACTCCCACGTGTACCTCAATCCATAATGACAACCGCCACTATCACATTAAACCCGCTTTGCGATTTAGCAAGTTTCAAGCCCTGAGTCTATTGATTTGGGAAAATCAATTTAATCCACCAATCATAGACCTCACATTACTGAAGGCCCAATCATTAATTAAGAGGAAGCCTTTATTGCCGAAGGTGAAGAATTTATATTGAATCGACTCCTTTGAGTCCACTGAGTCAAATTGGTAGGTATTCACTCAAAAATAGAGCTAGGCATGGTCCGATCCGATTCGATTCGATTCTCTTTATAACAGAATTGAACCAAAAATTTTGGGTATTTAGTTAGTGGAACCGTCGGGTCCAAATATAATTATAGAACCGTTCGTGTTCGATTCGGTTCGGTCCGGTTCCGTTATGTTCGATTCAATACCATAATTACATTTTAAATATTTACAACAACACTACATAAATACAACTAATAACATATTTAATCATAGCTTTTACAAATTAACAAAGTCCAATTCAAAAACATATAAATAACAAGTTGTCCAATAAAATTAATTTACCAACGTATACAAATACCAAAAGTAGATACTAATACTAAAATATTAGCAATCCATATCAATAATTCATTTGCTTCAACCGTCAAGTCTACATGAAAAAATTCTTGAATTAGAAGTCATAGAGATAAAATATTTTTAAGTATTACTAATACTTACCAGTTATTTGGTTTAATCATCAATTGGGTCAAAAAATGGATTTAGAAATTGGTTGGGTTGGGTCAAGCTAGCTAGGTTAGGGCTTCGGAGATGGAGTATCAATCAATCACCTAATTAGTTAATTTGTTTAGAAAAATTTAAAATAGTTTGATTTATTCAATATTAAAAAATTAGGAAGATTCGGTTCTTATTCGATTCTTCAATTCCTGGTTTAGAATCGAGAACCGAACCGAATAGTACCCGTCAATTTTCAATTCAGGTATCCGTTCAGATATTTAATTTGAGAAGAACCGTCGAGTTCGGTTCGATTCGGGTTCGATTTGATCGATTCTGGAGTTTTGCTTAGTCTTACCCAAAAGAACATGGCTATGGAGAAGAAGAATCGCCATCGAGTGATGGCACTATTTCTAATAATGATGCTCAATGCTGCGCCAACCACCAAATGCACGAAAAGGAGGATAGGTGACATATTTTTTAGTATTCCATACCTTCTTGGCACTATCACGGAGGCGAAGAACAAGGTGTATATTGGACTCCTTCAGGATGTAGTTGATGATGGGTGGGGCCGTCCTCGAGGTGGCCGGAGTTGATTATGCCATCGGAGTTGGTATAGATAATAGAGAAAGGGAATTGTAGGTTTGGGTTCGAATTAGTCGGAGTGGTGGGGCTCTTGAAACTTATCCCCATTTTTTATGAAAACTAATATTTAATTTTATGATTCAAGGTAATTGTCCTAAAAAGTTTTGGGTTTACATGTAATATTATTTTATCGAAGAATGTGTAATTAAAAAAATATATTTTGGATAAAATAGAGTCGAGAGAGGGGCTAAGTTTGATGTGAAAATCACACAACACCCTATTGAAAATTTAGAATTCTAAAATCAGATTGGATGTTTCATTGTTCACAAATCAGATGTGTTATTAATTAATTAATATATATAAAAATTATAAATCCACCCAACCTTAAAAACCCAAAATAATAATAATCATAACCCACATCTTCTGTCTCTTTCCTTCCCTCCCTCCCTGACGACTTCGATAACAAGACATGGAAGAATGGTGGCTCCGATCTCGTTGATCGTTTGCGGCGTTGCTATAGTAACTACATGCGGCGCTGTGCTTGTCGCGTAAAGCCTTATAAGACACAGCAGTAGCATCGTCAGAATCGTTGATGCAGTGGTTGTGGAGTGATTTGGGATGGTTTTTTGTGGATGCTGTTTGCATATTGTGGTCATGGAGGTCGTGGTGGTGGTGACGGTTTAGGAATCTTTTAGTGGACGGTGGTGGTTGCGTGGTGGTGGCAGATCGACGCTGTTGAAATTGTTGAAATCGTTGTTGCTATGGCGATCATGCAGATCGTGAATGATGGGGGTTTTCATCAGATCTGGTGACACCACAATTGGTAAGATGAGGTTGGGAGTGGCGGTTCGGTGATGATGGCGGTGGTGTGCTATTGTAATATTGTGGGTGTGGTGGTGGTGTGATGAGTTTTGTGATGCTATGGGTGTAGTGATGGTGGTTCTATGATGCTGTGGTTGTGGCGGTGGTGCAGTGAGTTCTGTGATGTTATGAGTGGGGCAGTAGTGGTTCTGTAATGACGTGGTGGTTTTAGCGAGCAACAGTTTTGGTGGCGTTGCAGCTAATAATAGTGGTGAGGTGGTGATCACAAATGATTTGGTTGACTGTGATCAATAAATAATATGTGACCAATAAAAAAGATAAATTGTGATTAAAAAAAAATGTGACCTAAGATTATGTTAATTTGTGATCAATATTTGATTTTTTTTACTGTATAATAAATTATGACTTGTAAAATTTGTGATTTGTGACCTATGAAATTTTTGGTCTGTAACCGTTAAATAATTTGTGACTTATAAAATTTTTGATTCGTGATCGAAAAATAATATTTGTCTAACTAAATCGTTAATCAGTAATCAAATTGTATAGATCTATAACTTTAATATATTTAATTAATAAAATATATAATTAATTAATTAAATCATAAATAAAATTTATTAAATATCTAATTTTTGAAATTTGAAACTTTTATTCTTAGTTTTGAAATAGATAATACTTATTCTCTTACTTACGAAATTTTCCCAAGTTTGATTTACTTTTTTGAAATCTAAGTTTTAAATATATGAAGAAAAAGAAAAAACTAATTAAGTAGGCCATTTAAACTTTAAATTTTGCCCATTTGAGCTCTATTTTAATTTTGTTTTTCAAATTCATATTTAATCTCAGGTTTCACAGCAAAAAATAAAAAATTACAAGTAAATTTAAAACCTTTGTTTCGAATTTTTAACCACGCATAATAATAATAATAATAATAATAATAATAATAATAATAATAATAATAATAATAATAATAATAATAATAATAATAATAATAATCAAGTTTTACAAAATTTATTTTGAAAAATGGACTCAAATAGGGGCTAAAAGCCATTTACCCATTTTTAAAGTCTAAAATTTAAATCACCATTTCTTATTAAACTTTGGAAAAATTGTAACCAAGGTACTAAATCTTTCATTTAGTAGAAGACTTGA